GCTGGCTGGTTCTGTGGCTCCCAATTTCCTCCAGGGTGGTCCTAGGTCTCAGAAAGGGAGTATGAACCAGTGGACCCTTGAGCATTGTAGTGATAGCGAGATCAAGGGCTTTGGCAGCAGAAACATCTGCGCTCAAACTCTGGCTCTGCCATTTACACGCTGCAATGGGGGCGATTCCTCCGCCTTTCTGAGCCTCAGTTTCCTCACGACACAACCTGGACGAAGTGTTGGTATTCATTAGGTGCTCGATAAATGGCATTATTTTAAAACAGCAGCAATGCAAGCATCAAGCAGGCAGCCGATCCCAATTATTGGACACCCATCACGTGTTATGCACTTTACAGGCATCCTTTTATTTAACTTCGCGACAAGGAGAGCCAAGCTCACATCCTGAGGGCTCAGCCATGGCAGGTGGGGAGGGTGGCGCAGCAATGTCATCAGCACGTATCACATGAGCAGCCCGAGAGCGCAGACCTACTGGGCCCTGGGCATCGGCGACAGCTAACCCGGCTTCACCTGTACAAGCCACTTCACCTCGCAAGCGGCTGGCAGACGCCACCCATGAGGCGCAATGCACGGGAACAGCACGTGCAAAGGCCCAGAGGCTGCTGGGAGCACAATGAGTGTGGAGGCCAGACACCTGGGCTAGGGCCACCTGCAGGCCTCTGGGTTTTCGCGGGAGATGGGCCTTCCCCAGAGCACTGGGGCGAGCCACTGGAGAGCTTGCTGAGGCTTGGTGACACCAGACTGTGCCCTGAGTGTAGGGGATGGAAGGGGGCAGGGGGAGGCTGTATTGGGGCTGTCCAGTCATTGTAGAGCTTGAAGCCCAAGTTCGCCGTGCGGTTGACAGGTGGCAGGGCCAGGACTAGGGTTGGGAGGGACAGTTGGAGTGCCTGCATTGTGCACTATTGTCACTATGTGAATTTGCCTTTGTGAAAACTGCTCCCCTCTCTGATCCCTTGAAACCCAGCAGTCCCCCTCCCCCTGCACCCCCAAATCAAGCCAAGCCCTCCATGTTATCCCTGAGCCCTGAGGAGGCTCTGGGTGATGGCAGTGGGAGGCCGGGGAGGGGTCTGCCTGGGTGAAGAGGCTGCAAAGCAGGTGTCCAGGTGGCGCTGGTCACACCCACCTGTGTCAGCCTCATCCACCTCCTTTCAGGTCCTATGGGTCCTTCCCCAAAGTTGAGGCCAGTTCCACCCTCCAAAGGTGAGCATTGCCCCAAGAAGCCACTCACTGGAGTCTGTGGGACCATCTCTTGGGGCTCTGTTCATACTCAGCTTGGGGGCTGCTCATACCTGGAGTTTCTAACTAATGCCTGCCCCAGGGCTGGCCACTCCGGGCCTGGCCCACACCCTGGATCCCAGCTTTCCACCAAGCAAGTCCTTTCTCTTGCTGTTAGCCTGATTGGCTAGAGCTGAGGGTTCCGGCCAAGAATGAGCTGCTCCCACCCCTGCTCCTGTCCCCCATATATACACATAAGGTGGAAGCCTATGCCCATCTCACCAGGCTTCCCTGCCTCAGTCCAGATCCACCCAGCAGCCAGAGATCTGGTCACAAGCTAAATCAGGTCACCCCCAGGGCTCCCCATTCAAACTTCAAATCCACACGCCTCACCACAGCTTTCTGGCCCCCTGTGCTCTGGTCTCTGCCCACCCCTCCCACATCACGTCCCACCACTCTGCCTTCACTCAGGACCCTCAGCTCCGCCAGCCCTCCTGAGTGGGCCGAACTCCTCCTGACTGAGGGCCTTGGCACTTGCTGTACCCTCTGCCTGGAATGCCCTGCTCCCATCTTTGCCTGGCTGGCTCCTTCCTGTCATTCCTGATACAATTTCAGTGTCACCTCAGAGGAGCCTTCTTGACTACCCACTGCCCAACCACCCTGTTGAGCACTGTCACTACATGGAATGTTCTTGTTTCTTTATTTCATATTTAGTTATTTACTGTCCAAAGCCCTGAATGTGAACTCCATGAGAGCAGGTAGTAGACTTTGTTTTGTTCATTCCTGTATCCTTTGAGCTTAGAATAATGCCTGGAACATAGTAGGTGCTCAGTCAATGTCCTCTGAACCTCAACCATCATTTATGGAGCACCTCATCATTCCAGGATGTATTGAACATCTGCTTCATGCCAGGTTCTGTGCTAAGCACTTTATGTCCATTACCTCAGGGAAGACGCTCAGCTCTCTGCTTTGTGGGACAGTGACAGTACCGACTCAAGGTTGGGAGGATCAAACAGGCCGAGGGGAGGCCTAGGAATACGCATTTTCACAGGATTCCCCCCTCTTCCCACCCCTCCCCCACTCTCTAAGAAACCTATCATGTTTAGGGTGGGATGGACTTGGTGCAAGTCCTAGCCATCACTTTTGAGCTGTGTGAACTTGAGTAGGTGACTGCACTTTCCTGGGCTCCCATTTCCTCATCTGTAAAATGGGGACCGGAGTCCCAAGCTCAGGGGTGGCACCTGCACACAGTCCTCCTCTTCCCAAAGAGCTGCTCCTTTCTCATTCTGCTCGCCCACACTGCCCCAGCTCACCCACTGTCAGTGGGGAGGACACCTCAGCCACACCGGGGCCCCCAGCTCAGTCCCTCGCACATACAAACCCTCCTCTCACTTTTCATTCTTGTAAATTGACGTCAGCACTGCTGAATCATGAAGCTGCACTTTGAGAGAGAATCTGCACCACTGGGGAAGCCACATGGTGTGCGTGCACACACACAAATACACATGCACACACACACGGCCTTTTCCCTTGCAGTGGTGTCTGCACAACATTTCAGTCACATGGGGCCTGGAGTGCAGCTCCCAGGGACGTTTGGGTTGCTGCATGTATGTTAGTATAGATTTTTAAAAATGGCTCATAAAGAAGGGGCCAGCTCTGGGGAGTGTGATCAAAGGGGCTTTATTCTTAGCTGTTCTGCTTCAGATTTTATAAGGGGAATGGGTTTGTGTAATGAAAATAAGATTTTTAAGCTTCTTCAGAGGAGGAAAATACCCTTAATATATTGTAAACTACCTGCTAATTCATCCCTCTTTAGATGAGGACCTGTTTCCTCATCCGTAAAATGGGAATGTTACTAGTACCCAAATCATAAGGCTGAATGAGGGTTGAATGCTTTAAAATAGGTGATGAGGGGCTTGGAACAGTGCCTGCACAGGAAGTGCCATATATAAAGTGTTAGCAGCTGCTGCTGTGGGTATTATTGCAACCATGGTACCCAGCCTGTGAAGCAGTACTGAATGGGTTTGAAAAACCTGGCTCTACCACTCACTGTATGTCCTACTTTGCCTATCTGAGCCTGTTTCCCCATCTGTAAAATGGGGTAGGTTTCTAACTCAGGCTGGTTGTGAGGATTAAACAAGGTAGCACAGGGCCCAGCATACAGTAAATTGGTCACTGAGGGTCTGCAGTTATTACTAGTATGAGGCGGTCTTCAAAAAGCTCATGGAATGATTTGGATTATCTTTTAACTCTATTTTTTTCCACGAACTTTTGGAAGTGCCTTCATATTATATAACCTGATCCCCAACCTTCTTAGATTTCTCCCAGTTTCTTCAGATACTGCCCCAGGGGGATAGGAGACAGGGAAAGAACAAGGACAGGACTGAGGTAATCCACACAGCAGAGAATGAAGGGCAAGGGGGTGATTTAAAAAAGACGAAGAAAAAGCGATTCCTTGGAGCTAGAGACAAGACATCACCCCCTTCCCTCCCACCCCACCTCATTAAAGGATGAAATTGCTGAAGCTCTCTCAGATCCTAAATTTCTTTCTTCTGGCTATTTTTACCCTGGAGACCTAGAACCTGTTTAAATCCCCAAGACAAGCCTGGGCCGTTCCAGCTCTCCACCATCAAGTTAATTTTATGCTGTACTTTCCCAGTCAGAAAGGTATTATTAAATATTAGGACACTCCATTATGAGCATGTTCAAGGCTGCACAGAGCCATTCAAACTCCAAAAGGTAAAGTGTGACGTGTCCATGAGGCTGCTTAATCCTAAACCTGAAAATGACTCAATTCACTGTGTGTTCGGCAGTGCAGCCCTGGAGTTCCCAGCACAGCCCATCTATCATGCCGGCTGCAGACACAGGAGTAGCCATAAAACCCGTGTCCTGTGTACTTTCTGGTGCTGAGGGTCAATCCCACAAACGTCCCGGAGCAACCCTTCCCTCTCCTGGCTCCTGAAAACACCACCTCCTCCCTGATGCACAGAAGGTTGCCCAGTTTTAGAGGTAGAAGCTGAGCCCCAGGGAGGCAAAGGGAATTGCCCAAAGCAGTCAGCCTGGCCCTCTTGCCACCACAGACCACAAAGCCTCTTTCTGGCTGCAAATGGTGTGTTCACTAAAAAGTACACAAGATAGAACAGGGCAGGGAGAGGGAAGTCAGACCCAGCCCTACATCCCCATCCCGTCTAACAAGTGTCCCCCCGATGGATGCTGAGTTTGAGAATGTGCCACTCCTTCCAAAAACTCATCCAGCCCCCCACCTCACCCCCACCCTCTTCCTGGAAGTAGTTGTGGTCATAGAACCAAAGAAGTTTCCTCTCTGTCATCCATCTCAAACAGATTCTGGGTGGACAGCCAAAAAAAAAAAAAAAAAATAGAAGAAGAAGAAGCCTGAGTGTCTTTGACACAGAAATGGCCATGGGCAAATTTACCCACTACTGGGTTTTCTCTTCTGTAAAACGGGGATAAGAGCCTGTGCTTCCTGAGGCTGTCCCCCTCTAGGATGCAGTAAATCTAAGCACGTAAACCACAGTGAGTGCTCAAACGTGAGCTGCCACCTTACCGGACACGCCAAAACTAGACCAACGGTGTCTCCCCCGAGTTGTGGGTGGAACCGTGCAGGGCTCCCTGCCGCAGAACCTGCCCTCCACACCACCTCCATCCCAACAGGTCAGTCCTAAGATCCCGCTCCCCTGGACCTGTTCAGAACCGAGGAAAATTTCTGACCAAAGCACACGCTCTAGAAACCTTTCTTTAAAAAAAAAAAAAACTTTCATAATAAAGTTTATTACCTAAACTGGCTGTAAAAAATATAAAATAGGATTCTGCACAGCAGAAAAATAAAGCCAGAGACCCTCCCCCAACCCCTGGTTTGTGCAAAGATACTGGGTATATGTAAACATGAAGAGGTAGGAGGTGCGAGTTCAGGTCCTGGCCCCAGATACAGTTAAGTTAAGCTGCTACAACAACCAGGGGGACCCCGAGGGAGCACCAAGAGGGGGAGCAACCCCCCAAGAGGTGGAGAGGGGTCTGCGGCCTCGTCTCCAGCCGAGAGCGGGAGGCGCCAAGCCCCCCACACCCGCTCCCTCCAACCCAGGCGGGGAGGGCGCCCATGTGGTTCCAGGCAAAATAATAATAATTAACAATAGAAAATAACGAGGCGCCCCAGTTAATGCTGCGTGCACGGAGGCGGGCGCGGCCGGTCAGATCTGGAAGGGGAAGGAACTCAGGTAGTCGCGGAGGACGGGGTTGAGGGGGATGCGCGCCAGGTTCTCGCGGCCCACGGTGGCCACGATGCGCTGGCGGCACAGCTCCTGCAGCGGCCGCACGCGGCGCTGGCGCAGCGGGGCCCCCAGCATGCGGCGCGGCGCCGCCACGTAGTGCTCCAGCAGCTCGAAGAGGCAGTCGAAGCTCTCGCGGCTGCCGTCCAGGTGGAAGCGGCCGGCCTGGAAGTGCACGCGGATGCTCGTGGGGCTAGTTATAGTAGATATATATCGTGAGTAGATGGAGTGTATTAAAGCTGATTCCATTGTTTATTTTTATCAGTGGTAGATAGGGTGGATGGAGACTCTGTGTCCATGGAGATATTAAAGCAAGAAGTCAGGAATACCCTTCTCAATGGGGCTGCCATCTTCTTTCCTGATCGACAGACCCGGAGGAACCATCTCTTCACCATGATGGTAATTATTTACTATAAGCATGGATTCCATTTCTGAAGTCTTTTAGGATGAAATTTATCAGTCTTCGTTTTCTCCAGATATATTATCAGTTTCAGTCGGGCTCGGCGCGCAACCGCTCGTGCGCCCCGTGCACGCTCAGGGGCCCCCAGTAGAAGCCGCAGGCGTCGAGGAGGGCGCTGGTGCGGGTGATGCGCCGGTACTCGGCGTGCGAGCGGAACGTGCGGAAGTGCGTGTCGCCGGGGGCCGGGGCCGCCGGGCAGGGCCGCGGGCGCGCGGGGGCCGCGGGCGAGGAGGAGGAAGAGGAGGAAGGCTCTGGCCGCCGTCGGGGCTCTGCTGCCGTGGAGATTGCATTATCGGCTGCCACCTGGTTGTGTGCTACCATCCTACACGAGGGGCCAGCTGGAGGGGTGGGCCATAGCGTCCGGGGGTGCGCTGATGGGGGAGACACAGGCAGTGAGCCGGGGCGGCGGGTGGGTCTGGGGCCGCGCGGCAACTTGGGCGGATGGTGCGCTAGGCTGAGCCCACCCTAAAGGGCGAGGGCCGAGCACCAAGTCCGCGCGGCCTCTTTGAGCCTCTGTGGGCTCATCTACAAAATGGGCTTTTCTGTCCGGAGCCTTCCCAGGAGGGTGGGGACTCTGTGGGGCGTAGTCTAGCCTCCCGGGCGCAGAGAGAGGGGGCGTGGAGAGAGGTGCCGGGAGAAGCCCGCCCGACTCCGGCCCGCGGGGACCCGCCCCCGGGAGGCCCTGCCCACACCAGCGGCACTTTCGGTTTTCTTTCCACGGTGGCGCCCGGTGGAGGCCGCCCGGGCTCCTGTTCCATTCTTCCCGGGACCGTCCAGGGGGAGGGCCTCTAACCCGACTGCGCCTCGCACCTGTCCCCGCACCTCTCCATCGAGGGGCTCTGGCCCCGCCCCCGAACCTGCCGGCCACTTTTCGGACCCGGCGACCCCACTTTTGCCCCCGCTACCTTTGGTCTCAGATTTCTGCAGCCAGGTACTTTAGCATCCTCTGAGCTGGCCCTGACACACCCCTCCCCCTCCCGCTCCCCTCCCGGTGTCTCCACCTCCATCTGGGGCAGAGCTGTGTCCTCTTTCCCTGAGCCAGATCTCTCGAGGACGCCCCGGGAGGTCTTCCCCGACCCTGGGATCCCCCTTGACCCCTATACCCCCTCCCAGCCCCGGCTTTGCCCACCGCAGACCCTAAGGCCCCTCCTCAGTGCCCCGCGGGTCGCGGCCACGGACCCCTCGGGACTGCTTCCGCCGTCGCCCTCCCACTGGTAGTCCCCGGAGCCTCGGCCGGTCGGCCGGCCGCTGCCGCTGATCGTGACTTGGGCTTCCCAGGAAGCGGCGGCCTGACCGCAGGCTTCAGAGGAACCCTTCGGCGGTGCGGGAGGGGCGCCTCGAGTCGGGGCCCGAGTTCCTCGGAAACCGGGCGGGACCGGGCAAGGTCCCCAGTGGCCTCGACCCGCCTTCCCTGCGATCCTACTACGCGACAGCTGGAGAAACTGAGGCCCGGGGGAATCTAAGATTTGCAGTGGATGGGGAGTCAGGACCCGGCTCTCACCTCCGTTTTCATTTTGGGGAGAGGAGCAGCTGGCACCTCCAAACACGCTTTGGTGCCCATTGAAAAAATGGTGCATTCTCAGATGTAATGATTTCAAAAATCTACTTTCCTGGCTCCCCTCTCCCCCCAACCCGACCTTATAGATTTCCCCTCTTGCTGCTCCATCCAGCATCTACCCTTCACAAGTCCTCCCTATCCGCCCCTCCCCCACTCCTCCACCCCCACCCCTTGGGCTTGGGATGGGAGGTTTGGTGGTCAGGGCTATAATTTGTCCACGTATGTGAGATTTAATGATTCTGTTTGTAGTGGAAAGCATTTGGTGCCTGGCTGCTATGTGTATTTTTGAATGACCGCGGGTGGGGAGCCCCAGAGTCAGGAGGGGTCACACAAAATCCTTCACAGGCTGGGGGCTTGGTGACTGGCCTCACACTGGCACACACTGCCCTCTACAGACAGCTCTCAGGCTGCAGCCCAGACAGGGCGCCTCTCCTCGAAGCCCATTGAGGGGTTCTTCCCTGGCCCCTAGATGCCTCAGTTCCCCCAGGCAGAACACAGGGGGTGGCCCAGAACCAGCCCGGCGCCAGGGGTCAGGAGCTGTGGTCATTCCAGAGATGTTGAACTGAGCACCTGCTGTGGGGAGGAGGTGAGGCCACACCCTGTGGTGGGTGATGGATAAAATATAAAGTAGTGGTTAAAAGCTGAACTTAGGACCCAGACCCAATTCCAACTCTGCAACTTTCTAGCCTCTTGACCTTGAGCATGTAATGAACCTTTCTGCCTTGGTTTCTTCATCTACGAAGTGGGGATAATAAAACCTCTGTCAAACGGTTGTGGAGGGGATTAAATGAGTTATTACAGGTCAGGTGCTTAGAACAGCCCCTGGTGTTTAATAAGCACTCAGAAGGTGTTTGCTGCTGCTGTCAGTCATCGAGGGAGCCTGTAGGTGTGGAGCCCGCAGACGACTGGCTTCCTCCTTCATGTCCATTTTAGAAGCCCTCGCTCAAGGAGCACAGGCCAGAGAAGGAGGAGGAGAGCTTCTTGGGGGTGGACCAGGGCCACGTGGGTTCTCCTCACTACTACCAGTGACAGTTACACGGCTTTGGTTTCATTTTCTGAAGTCCTGAGTTCAAAACGAAACCAAATCCAGATGCCGAAAGGGAAAGAGAAATATGCTGATTGACAAGCATCTGCCTCCTGGAGGGCTGGGCACCAGGCTGGCAGGAAGCCAGCTGCTTGGGGGCCTCATGTGGCCACCTCTGCCACCCCACCCCACCCCACCCCCCGGAAAACGAGCTCTGGAAGTGTTGTACGTGCAAAGCCCAGAATAAAGTGCCAGGCACAGCGTAAGTACTCAGCACAAGTGGTTTCTTGTCACAGGGCAGATGGGACAGCCCAGTGTCCACAGCTTGCTGGGGCTACAGCCAGACATATGGGATGGTTGTCCTCCCTGCATTGTCAGGCCTTAATAGCCCAGGAGTGAGGGGCCCAGCCAGCAGCTGGGGGGAGCCAAGATCCTGGCCCTGGAGTTCAGCTTCTCAGTTTCTCTTTCCAGCTTTGTCATACATTGCTGGGAAAACAGCCCCTGGTCAGGGCATGGAATCCTGAAAATACACGTTGCCCCAGTGCTCCTGAACCCTCCTTTTCCTCTAACACATGGGTCAGCAAGTTTCCTGGGATAGTCTGTGCCCCTGGGAGCCCTGAGCTGTTGGACTTAGAGTGTGAATTCTGCTGTCTGCTGGTTTGGGTTTAAATCTGTCGCTTCATAAGTATGTGGCCTGGGGCAAGCTTCTTAGCTTCTCTGTGCCTCAGTTTTCTTATCTGCAATATGGGGCTAGTAACATATGTATTTTATTCCTTCACTCTTCAGCAGGTATTTATTGAGTGACTACTGTATGCCAGGCACTGAAGACTCAGGGTCTTCAAGCAGACCCAGAGTAGAAGAATTCACATGGTCGTTTCAGATCATGCTAAGTGCTATGTAGGAAATAAACAGGGAGAAAGGGAGTGACTAGGTGTTTATGGAGTGAGGTAAGGCAGTTAGGGAAAGCTTCTTGGAGGCGGTCATATTGGCATTGAGGTCTTTCTAAAAGTGGGATGAAGAGGACCCCCGGTGGAGAGAACAGCTAGTTACAAAGGCCCTGCAGTGGGCGTGATGGGCATGCTTGAGGATCAGAAAGGAGATGGGTGTAGTTGTTGTAGACACCAAGGGGGTGAGTGTGGGGATCAGGCGGAAGGCTGGTAGGGTTCTTATCAATCAGGCAGGGCCTTGTTGGGCAGTGGGAGTGGTTTGGATTTTACCGAGTACATAGGGCAGCCATTAAAGCCCAGGAGACACCATAAGATTGCGTGTGGGAAGAGCCCCCTGGCAGCTGACCATCCAGACAGCTGGGGCTTTAACCAAGATAAGCTGCAGTAAGGGCCACATGACATGCCTCATGACTGTCTCTGGTGCCCTGGGATGTCCCTATACTAGCCCTGAAATGAAAGCAAAGACAGTCCTAAGGGAAAGCTGGGACATTCATGCTTTAGAGAGAGTATAGCTTGAGGAGTTCATGGCCTGAGATCTGGGGTCAGCCCTCACTCCCCGGGAAGCCCTGGAGAAGGAATCCCCATTGACTGAGCCCCTGTTGTGGGCCAGGTAATAATTTCTTGGTATATGATCTTATTTAATCTTTCCCATGGTTCCGAGTTGGAATTTATGTGTTGCCATTTACCAGGTGAGGATGACAACCCAGGGAGCTGATAGAACTTAGCGAAGGTGTTTTGGGGAGCCCTGGGGCTTTGCAAAACCTGGCTTGAAGGCCTCTGTCTGGAGAGGTTGCTTCATTGTGTGGGATGGAACCTGGTCCTTCCCATTCCCACAGCAGGAAAGATTGTATGTTTCAGTGGGGGGAGGGGGTGCAGAGCTGGGGGCACCCAAATCCAAGGAGAAGGTCCAAAAGGCCAGCGAGTGATGACAGGAGCCAGTTACTGGACTCCATAATGACAACAGGCCAGAGGCTGGTGGCTCAGCAGTCCTGGGGAGACGATGCGACTCGTCCAGCAGGCCCGTTGTCCCAGTGTAATGAGTGGAAGAATGGAAAGACTAAGTCAGAGGTTATGTGAGGTAGCCGGCATTAACCCACTTTGGGAAAGCAGGTCAATATTTTTTCTTTTTTTGTTTTGCATTTTTTTGCTTTTTTTTTTCAGTTTTTGTTTTTTTTCCAGCAGTCACTATTTTTATGTTAACAGTCCAAAATAGGAAGGGCAGGAAAGTGGATATCTCGGAGCACTGGTTGTTCAGTCCAGACACACCTAGTTCCAGTCCCAGCTTCCCACCCCCACCAGCTGTGTGGCTTCAGGCAATTTGATTTAATCCAGTGGCAGCCCAAGCTTGGAAAGCCCAGTGCCTTTCATGAGTAAATCCTTCAGGATCTTGCTCAGAGCGCATTTATTCCCTTATAACATGTTTCTAGTAAGCTGAATCGTACCCTTCACCTACCCCACCCCATAAGTGGCAAATTAGGTGTCAGCAGCTGACAATTACCACTGGCAGTTGCCACAGTGGGGAAGAGAATTTGCAAAAGCTACAAAAGCAGACACTGGAACGGACATACAGCAGACTGGGGGCATTTAGAGTTAGGGGCAGGAAGGCTGCTCGTGTTAGTAGCCCCTCACTGGGACTGAAGCTGTTGAGAATGGCAGGCCCCATGGAAAGAGGCTGCATTTGGCCCTGTTCTCTCTGTCTGAGGACACATCTCATTTCAGGACACACAGACCAGCAGCAGACTTGACATGCATCATGATGTGGGAAGCCTGCTGTCAACTGGTGCCAGAAGAGGCACCTGGCCTGGTCAGCAGGGCCCTGGGCTGGATCACAGAGATGATCCTTGCCTGAGTTTTAAAGAACGAGTGGGAACAAGCCAAAGGAATAGGAGAAACAGCACTCCTGGCAGAGCAGGACATGAGAATTGTGACCCAGGTGGCAGGAGACGAGGCTGAGAGTGAGCAGGAAAGGTTTGGAGGAGGAGCTGGGCCTCTCCCTGCCCTAGAGTGGTGCGTCCCTCTGGGGAGAGCCTTCTGAGTCACCTTGCCCAGACCAGCAAACCCAGAGAGAGGCTGATGTTATATTCAGCATGCCTGTACTATCTCTTTTTAAATTTTTTTCACTGAAAATGTTTGTGGGGTAGAATTTGTTGTTTCAAGGGCTATCTCTTTTCAGACTCAACAGAGCTTTGCTGAGCACCCACTGGATGCATTCACTGAAGCTCAGTCCTTTCTTTCCTCTTTAATCTTTCATTTCCTCATATAAAATAATTAAAGCCTTTTTCCTTCCCAGCGGTAACCCCGGGTACCAGCTTGGTCTGTGCCTCTGGGTCTTTTCCCGTGCACTTCCATACATGTACTTTTACCCGCAAGGGATTTTTCCCTGTGTAAATGGCATATCTTTCTTCATTTACCCTTTTCACCCAACAGCATTTCCTGGCAATCTGGATAGAGCATGTATAGATCAACCCATTCTTTTTAAAAACCACGTGGTATTCCTCAGTGTGGACCTTAGGTGGACACAGAAGTTTTTTTTTCTCTTGCAAACAATGTGGCCCTCAACCTCCCTGCACAGCCTCTTGGCACACATGTGTGAAAGCAGTTGGTACACTTTAATGCTAGTAGACACTGCCCAAATACCTGCCAACCTACCTGTGCCATTTACCCCCTAGGCAACAGCATTCAACAGTACGTTTCTCTGTTGCCCTCGCCAGCACTTATTATCAAACTTTTCACATTTTTGCCTATTTGATGGGTACAGAAGTGGCATCTAATTGTTGCTTTAATGTCTGCTCCTTCTTTCATTTATTTAACAAACATTTACTGAGCTGGAGATGCCGCAATAAAAGACAACATGGCCCCTTGGTCCCTTCACAAAGTGTCAGATGCAAATAAGGCTCAGAGAGATTAAGAGATAGGTCTAGGGTCACCCAGCGAGGGAATGGGGGAGCTGGGATTTGAATCTGGGTCTGTGTGGCTGCAGAGTTTGAGGTATTTTTTCCTCCTGAATTATACCTCAAATGGTCATCTCAGCCCAGCGTCTGCACGCTCTTCCTGGACTGCTTCCCTATCATCCCCCGCTCAACCCAAGATTTGTCCCCTAAATGACCAGTTGGGCCTGCAGAAGTGATAGCCCCCCAGTAACTGGGTGGACAGTCCCCCACAGGCCAGGCTGTGTTTCGTATTTCCCAGAGCTCACTTCGCCCCAATATTCCACTTAAATCTCTCAACCAGAGAGTCAAGATAGATCACCTTCAGAATCCACATACCCTCTTGGTGGCTGAATTTATCATCTGTTTCTCTCCATTTCCTGAATTTGGGTTTCTAGAAGTCCTGTCCCTAACCTACTGCTGCCCCACCCCAAACCAAGCAAGTGAAGGAGTGAATCTGTGGTTTGATTTTTTTTTCCTCTCTCATCATTGTGTGTAAGAGGGTGTAAGAGGGCGGTGCGTACCTGGGAGTGTTTGCCTGCATGCATGATTCTGTGTATGGAGGGTGTGGGACAAGGAGGCTTGCGAGAGCCTGCATGTATGTATTGGGGGGGGGTGTATTTGGGGGTCCATGCATGAACATAAGTTGTGTCTGAATGGGTTTGAATGGCTATTTATGTATGTGACTTCATATCTGTGTGTTTGTTTCAGAGAAATGTGGGGTTAAAGATGTTGGGTTCATAAATTACACGTGATCCAGTCTGCCTGCTTCCCCCTGCAAAGCATAGACCATGTCTCTATAATAGATCTCCTGCCTTCAATGATCTTATCGTACTCTTTTTTTTTTTTTTTGTAATGGCTGGCTAGTATGAGGATCAGAACCCTTGATCTTAGTATTACAATATCATGCTCCAACCAACGAGTTAACCGGCCAACCCTGATATAAAAGGATGCTGTCCAGGGAGTGGAGAGGTCCTTTGGTGAGCGGAGCTCAGAGCCCCTGATCTTACCTCTGGTCCTCTGTCTCCACCTCCTCTCTCAAAATGTGCTCCCCAGAAGGACTTCCTAAACTTTTGCACTGAGGTGTCAGTGAATATCATAGTTTAATGTGGCTTCACATTTTCAATAGGAACCCAGGGAGGTTTTAGGCAAAACCTGAATCATCTCAGACCTGCCCACCAGGAGACCTTAATCATTTCATCTCTGATCATCTGTAAAGTGGGATCAGCAATGCTTCCTGTTGAGGGTGTGTAAATTCAGTGGAAATATTTATTCCAAAGCATCTGGCAACTAGTAGGTGCCCAATAAGTGGTAATCCCCTAATCTGCTTGGGCCCTTCCCCATGTCCTCTCGTAAGGGTGTGTGGAAACAACCTGGGACATTTCCCTGCTGTGAGAGGATAAAGAAACCCGAGGAAAGGAGCTTGAGTGACATTGAATGTACCAGGCCCCTGCTGGACACTTGTATGTGCATTATCTCAGTGAACCCCCATTTGGACCCCTCAAGGGAGACACTGTTAGCCTCCCATTTTACAGAGGAGACTCAGGTGCAGACAGGGGAAGTGACTTGCTCAAGGTCACACAGCTGAGACCTGAAAGGGGACCTTCTACTGCGTGCCACTGCCCAGGGTGGCCTCAGCAGAGCTAGGAGTCTTGCAAAACTCAGGCTTCCTGAAGGCCTTCCCCCAAGGCTCATTGGTCTGGCTACCACGTCTGGATCATATGAACAGCGTGTGGACCTGTGAACATCACAGTCCATGTCCACATGTGTATACACATGTGCAAGCATATAGGGTAGAGGACGATGCCCAAACAGTGTTGTCCATACACTTCGAAGGCTTCTTGGCAATCTGTCCCCACTCCCCATTCATTCCTGCTCTTGTGCTAGCATTAGCTCCTTATGCTTTCATGAGATCCACCACAGCTGTGTTCCTGCTCCCTACATGACCTCTTCCCTGTTTTGTGCTTCCAAACCTGGAACCAAAACATGTGACACCTTTAGTTAGATCAAAATGATATTGTCAGGGCCAGCACAGGGCTCACTTGGAAGAGCGTGGTGCTGACAACACCAAGTCAAGGGTTAAGATCCCCTTACTGGTCATCTTTAAAAAAAAAAAGAGATTGTCAGGCTCAAGAATAGTCTTCCATTGTACGAGCTTTAATCAGTGTTGCACAGAAATCACCATAATATGTTCCTGCAAAAAGATTGCCTTCATCCCAGCATTCCACGTGTGATAGCATTCCTCATTTGGGTGAATTGACACAGGAACAAGCCAGGCAGTGCTGTTTTAGTGTCTCCTCCCTAAGGGATGAGAGAAAGGGACCTTCAGTAACTGAGCACTTCATGAAGTCACTGAACTCTTTCCATTAGATCTTAGATTGCTCATTTATAATTGAATATGGGGCCTAGGTAGAGCTTATTGTCGAGGTTTTTTTGACATATGTGAATCCATCCATTCGTCCATCCATTTATCCCTTCCATTTATCATCTACCCATTCATTTATCCAACATTTCATTCTTTTTCATCCTATCCCATTAGTCTTCCATCCAGTCATTTTTTCTCCATTCATCCATCCAGTAAACCTATCAGTCTGTCATCCACTCATCTATCCATTCATTAATCTGATCATTCACCTACCTACCCAAACCATTTAAACCAACCATTCTCCCACCAAAACTTATACAGCCTGGTTAGTTCAATTGGTTAGAGCACAGTGTTGGACTGGCCAGCTGCCAAAAAAAAAAAAAAAAAAAAAAAACAATGCAACTGTCCAACTCTGTATCCAACCAATTCATCCAGTCATATCTGTCCAACTAATCTAATCATCTACCCAACCAATTTGTCTAGCCAACCAGTGTATCAATCCAATCCATTTATCCACCCATCCATCCAACTAATCACACCTCACTTTCCTGTTATTCAACAAATGCATTCATCCATTCAATTCATACAGCCATTCATCTTTATTTCCCATCCATCTATATAACCGACCTGTTTTTATGGCAGCTGGCCAGTATGGGGATCCGAACCCTTGACCTTGGAGTAAACTGCGAATGAGTTATTTATCCACTCACCCTCTCGTCAACCTATTTTTGCTTCCATCTAACTAATCTAGTTGTTCATCCTCCCTCAACCCATCCAATTTATTGGAAGCACCAATATGTTCATCCATGCAACATACACCCAAATTCCCATTGTTGCTTTCTCCCTCTTCATCTTTGCCCATGGTTCCTCTAGATGCAGCGTGGAGGCTGCAGCCTTCATCTCACATCCAGCTGGGCTGCTCCCCCAATCTGTGGCCCTGTGGCCCTTCCCCACCTGCTTAAAGCATACCTGAGCACTGCCTTTTTGTTTTGTACAGCTGCCGGCTCCTCTTGGCCACCTTTCTCTTGTTCACCTTTCCACGCAAGATTCTTCTGTTCTTGGGGCAGCTGCTGCAATGTCCAGTGGGCCGTGTGGGAGAGTGGTGGGAGAGCATAATCTGTTTGTGGCGCCTGGGTGGCAGGCTGTGGCTCAGGCTCTGGTGGCCAGGTGGACTGTGGGGGCTGGTAGGGCTCTGGCTGGAGCTCCGACTCCAGCTGCAACTCTGGCTCTGGCCGCAGTTCTGGCAGTGATGGCAGCAGTTGCACTGGCAGCCGCTGTGGCTGTGGGGCCGAGAGTTGCTATGGGGCTGGGTGTGGGTGATGGCAAAGCCGTGTGTATTGGTGTCCATCAGAGGCCACACTTGGAGGGGCAGAGGCCTCCTCCTCCTCCTCTCCCAGAAGGCCCAGCTTTACAGAGACCCTGGAAGCCCCTGCTTATATAGTCGGGGCCAATTATGATGGCACAAGCCACAGGGGTGTAACAGATGTGGCTGGCTTGGACAAAGCCTCCTACCTCTTACCCTCACCTCCAGGGTGTGGCAGCTTTCAGGGGCCCTCTGGGGTAGTCCCATCTGCTGCTTAAGAGTAGGGGCCCTTGGGTCAGATTGAGCTGAGTCCACATCCCAGATCTGCTCCTCTGTCATTGTCAGCCCTGGGCATTCACCTCTCCAAGTCCCAGTTTCCCTATCTTTGTAGAAAGGGGGCAATAATTGTACCCACCTCATAGGGACATTGGAAGACTTAAATGAGGGAATCTATGTCAAGCAGTTATCTCAGGCCCAGCCCACAGTAGGAGTTCAATAAGCATCATCTACCAGCATGATCAGCTCTTCTTCTCACTCCACCCAGGCAGCAGGGATGCCAGGAGTGCAGCCCTGACCCCAGTGATAGTTGGCTAGTAGGGGCGTGGTTGGTATGGTAGAGGGCAGGTGGGCGATAAATTGATTGGATGGATGATGTTAAGAGAAACTGAGTGGATGGATGCGTGTCCTTGGGCCTGCCTGGCAAACTCACCTTCCCAGCAAGATTAAAGTCAGGGGTAAGGGGGATTTAGAGCCACGTTCAAATCCCAGTTAGCACTGATGTCCCATCTCGGGTAGGTCATTGTGGTTTTCAAGGCGTGGTTGCCTTATGTCACAATGGGGAGTCTTTCTTCTATCCTGGTATTCTTGTGAGATGCAGGAGACCCTTGGAACCAGTTTTCCTCCTTCTGGTTTCTGCCTCCTGACTCTGCTCCTGCTAATGACACCTCGCTGTACAGTTTGAAACCCCAGCACCTCAAGAAGAAAGCCCAAACTGGAATTTGAACATGAGGTCCTGTCTGATCTCCCTAGTCTTCGGGTTTCCATCCAGAGCCACCCACCTCTCCCATGTCTCAGCCACTCTTGGCCTGTCTTTCCCCTCTTCTCCCCACATGGAACTCCCTGTCCCATCTCCCATCTCCCAGCCCAAGCTCACTTCTCACTCTCTATTGTCCAGGGGCAGCTTTGCCTCTTACTCTGAGGATTTGCTATCATCTGCTTTTGTTGAAGTTTATTTCTTGATAAGCATGTCAGATCACAGTGAAAACTGTCCTCATTTACTGAGCACTTTCTACATGGCTGGGCCCTGGAATCTACCCAGGTAGCTTTTCCTTGAGCCTTATAGTGACCCTGTGTAGTGAGCTGAATGGTAGAGGGCTGAATGGTGGCCCCTAAAAATCTATGTCCACATCCTAACTCCTGGAATATGTCAATGCAACCTGATTTGGAAAAAAGGGTCTTTGCGGGTGTCATTAAGTTCAGAACCTTGAGATGAGAGAGGGCTGGATTATCCAAATGGGCCTTAAATCCAATGACAAGTGTCTTTATAAGAGACAGAAGAGATACCACACCGAGAGAAAAGAAGATCGTGTACTGATGGAAGCAGTTAACTAGAGCAGAGTGCTGATAACACCAAGGTCAAGGGTTTGATCCCTGTACCTGCGAGCCACCCAAAAAAAGGCAGGGGGGGGGGCGCAGAGACGGGGGTTGTGGAGCCACCATGAGCTGGGGAGGTAAGGAAGGTTCTCCTTTAGGGCCTCTGGAGGGAGTGAGGCCCAGCTAACAGCTTGATTTTAGACTTCTAACCTCCAGAACTGTGAGAGAATAAATTTCTGTTGTTTTAAGCCACCAGCTTTGTGGTAATTTGATACAGCAGTTCTAGGAAACTTGTGCACCCTGTGACGGTGTGTACGATTGAGTAACCAGCCCAGAGTCCCACAGGTAGTCAGTGGCAGAGTCAGGGTTCAGATCTAGGCCTGGCCGCCTCTTCCGGTCACTAACGGATCAGCAGGGATTATGGAGGGCACGGAGTGCAACTCGAGTGTTCTGGGCCACGCTATGAAGACGCTTTCTGGGTCTCTGGACCCCTCGTCCACAGTCCTCCGCTCCTACCTGCTGACTCCACACTTCCCCATCCTCACGTGGAGATCACCGTCCATCACCGTCCACTGCCAGCCCAGCCTGTCCTCCACACTGCCCTTTCCACCCTCCGAAGAGACCCGACCTGTCCTGGCTGCCCCTCCCCCCGTTACTGTGAACTGTTTCCCAGGACGGAGACTGCGTCTTATTAATATCAGGGCCCCTGGTGTCTGGCATTGTGCCTGGAATACAGCAGGGGCTCAACAGATGTTTGCCGGGCCTGTAACACTGGACAAAAGGAAGAGACGGTCGAATGAGTGACTGGTGGCGGGGTCAGGGGTCTTGGGGTGGCAGGGCTTCCTCCTTCCCTCTCTTCTGCCATCTGCAGGCCTCCCCCTACCCCTCAGACATAGCCCCCCAAGAAACTGAGGCTTCCCTGGAAATATTGCCTCCCCCACGCCCCACCACAGCCCCGTCCAGGATCCTTCTCAGGCCCAGATGGCTGATGATTGGGGGACTGCGAGGGCATGTTTGTCATTTCTTTGGGATAGAGGGGTGAGGGGGCCATGGGCAGGATGGGGAGCAGACACACCCTGAAGCCTCCCGTAGAAGGCGTGCTGAGCCGGGAGGCCGAGGACCCGGGGCCTGGGCTTTGCCTTTGTGCCCAGCTGCCTCTCTGTGCCTCCTTTGCCATGGCCTCCAGAGCCGGACCCCTCGTTGAAGGTAGGAGTGAGCCTCCAGGTGGGGGCACAGATGGTGAATCCGTGGCTGAGAAGGCCCTGGGCCCTCCAGCGAGGCAGGTGGAACCACTGTGACTCCAGCAACAATACCTGTCTTAGTTAAGCACTTCCTAGGTTCAGTGGTCCACCCAGCATTTCAGTAAATTCTCCCGACTGACTGACCCAGGGGTAGACCTGTCTTAGTTAAGCACTTCCTAGGTTCAGTGGTCCACCCAGCATTTCAGTAAATTCTCCTGACTGACTGACCCAGGGGTAACTATTTGCCTCACCCTCAAGCAGGAGGGACAAGTTGAGGCTCAGAGACACACAGTGATTTGCTCAAGGTCACACAGCTGGCAGAAAAGGAATGTGAATGCAGGTCTGCTGAGCTCCTAAGCCAGTGCTCTTTAGGAATAAAGACTGTTCATGGTTGGAGCAACAAAATGGGGTCCTGTCCTGCTCAGGCCTGGAGAGGAATCCCCTACCTTGGAGATGGGACAGGCTTAGAGGGTTTCCAGCCCCCAGAGCAGGGAGAAACCTCTGGCCGGCTGTCAGGAGGAAGGTCACTGACCCTGCTCTTTAACCCCCTGGCAGCTGACCTCCCTCCTAGCCCATCCACGCACACCCACACTACTCCCACGTCACAAGGTTCCCTATCTGAGGGAGGGAGATTCCAGGTAGGAGATGCACTAATGCAACCACAAGCCAAGAAGTGTGGGCAGCCACCAGAAGCCAAGAGGCTAGGAGCAGGTCTTCCCCAGTGCCTCCAGAGGGAGCGCAGCCCAGAGTAATTCGCTGGCTGACAGGACCTCACGAAATCTGGCCCCTCCCCCATATCTATCTCCCACCCCTTGACCTCTGCTCCCTCCCTGATGACCTTGTCTTTCTGGAGCACACCAGACCTGCTTTCCACCCCAGGGCTTTTTGCCCCCACTGTTCTGCTCCCATAATTCATACTTGCCCCAACCACCCAACACTCGAGACCAGGGACTTGTGTTTAAAATGTACAGCTGGCCGGTAGATAACACCACGGTCCAGGGTTCGATCCCCTTACCAACCAGCCCCAACCACCCAACACTCGAGACCAGGGACTTGTGTTTAAAATGTACAGCTGGCCGGTAGAGGGTTCGATCCCCTTACCAACCAGCCATCAAAAAAATAAAACTGTGGCACATAATAGGCCCTTGAAAGGTAGCCACAAGGTGACTTGGCATGTTTGTGACCAGGTCAGGCTTAATCTGTGGACAGGGAAGACAGAGGTAACTTATTAGCCCCCTTCATCTCACTCTCATGGAGTGGGATAAGTTCTTCAGGTTGAGAGCCTCGTCTTGATTAGAGACTCTTGGAGATGGGCAGAGGTGGGGGGAGGTCAAGACAGAATAGTGTGGCCTTTGGCACCATGAAAGGACACACGACGGAGGACACAAGTATCACAGGGTAACACACCAGGCACAGTGCCTGTCGCCTGCAAGCATGCAAGGGTTTCAGAGCCCCCCGGCCCCTCCCTGGCCTCCCTGGAGGAAGGGTTGTGTCTAGCCCACCTGGGAGGGAAGCCAGGTTCGTGCTGTTTGCATAAAGGAAACCGACAGGCTATCGAGTTTCTTGTCAAGCTTTATTTGGCAGGTGACTTTTGCTCATTTTACTCAGATCTTGTGGGCTCTTTGGCAACTCAGAGCTTTGGCATCCAACGTGGGGGTGTCGCTATGGTGTTTCTTGGGCAGGTGTCTTTTTCTTAACTTTCAGCCAGGGGTGATGGTCCCAGGAAGTAGTTTAGTACCTTCTGTATCTTCTTCTGCAGACTTTTGGAAAAGAAAATTCTGATTGAGGGGGCACCTTGGGAATCTGGGGGACGGGGGGAGTGGAGTCTTTCCCTTTGGCTAAAGACGGTTTTTAGAGGCCGTCAGGTGGGTTAGGGTCCCAGCCTCTCTCCTGCCCCTCTGTGCAGTGTGCAGGTGCAGAGGGCCTGGGTTGTCAGGGTGCACAGGGCAGGGGTAGGGGCGTGGTGGGCAAACCTCTGCGACGCCTCCTCCTGCAGCTGCGTCTCCTGCGTCTCCTGCAGGACCGACGCCGCCGTCTGTGCATCCGGCTTAGCCTCCTCGGAGAGCAGCGCCTGCGTCTGTAGCGATAGCAGCATCGTGTTCTTCCACAGTCCTGGACGCGCTCTGGGCTCAGCTCCTGCTCCTCTTGGCCCTCGGGTCCATGCTCCTGCCCATGGCTCTGCTGCCTGAACCCCTGGTTCGGATGTTCACT